TGTTGTACGCCTTTATGCTAATTATGTTTGCTTGCGTTTTTCACGAATTTCTTTAATAAATATTTATATGTTCCTTTGTAATTCACGTTAATTTCTTTTTTTAACTTGAAAATTTTTTTGCAATTTTTTCGAGTTTTGAATTAAACGTTTGCTGGTACGTTTTTTTTTTCTTCGCATTTTTGTGGCACCGTTGCCAAAATTTGGACCATATTGGCAATATTACGATTAGATGCTCTCGTTTCACCCACAGAAAAGTCTAGGTATTGGATTTTAGATCCCCTCTGTCGCTGTGAAAGAACATAAGACCAGTAATGGCTGTTGGGTAGATGAGAAGATATACCACTAAAACTTCAAGAATGTCGAATCATAAACTTCAAAGTATAGCCCCTCACCTCCATCAGGACTAGCTAAACCTCAGAAGACTTCATACTGAAATTTGAAAATGAAATAACTGTCAAGTTTTATGTTTGATTCGTTGAAACTTTAAAAAGTATTTTGTCGGTGCAAAAAATTATATAGTTAATTTCTAAATTCTAGGACCATAGGTGTACGGAGACATTTTGCAGCTTATATAACTAATGTAAATGTGTATATGCAGTAATATGCATAATGTTTAAAATAATTAAATCTAATAATATAGCTAAAGTTCACTGGAAAATTGAAATGATTGATATCACATTCTCAATTTCTCAGTAAACTTTCACTATATTATTATTAGATTTAAAATTTATACAAGTAATGATTTATTTAAAGAGAGAATTAATTCTTTTGACATGCTATCAATATGTATATATAATTATATTCATCCTTAAAAATTATTAGTTTGACTATTATAGTACCAAAACACTGCCTTACTGGCTTGAGTAATTTATATCTACCACTGTGCCATGATCCTTTTATTCAGTCATGCTATGGGGTTCTGTTCTATACTAAACATGTGATCCAAATTATGGTAACCCAAACAGTCATTTATCATCTATTTGTCCAACTTATCAGTTGATCCAAGTCAGACTGTAGTACCTCATCAACCTCAGTATATCTGTAAATACCCAGAAATGTCATCAGCAAACTTTCATAACTATCCCCTATCAGTATCAGTATTATTAAACTAAATAAGTGAAGTTAAAAGACCTAGTCTAGACCTGTAAAGCATGATAGTGAAAGTAAAAGGACAGTCTGACGGGTAATCAATAATAATCTTAAACTGTAGATATTTTTCAATAATTTTTTGTTAACTAACAAATTAAGGGTCGTGAATGTTTACCCTCACTGAAGTTTGAGATACGTAGGTTATTAAAATATATTTAAAGGTGTCTTATCAAAGAAATCAAAAAGATTATGAACACCCCTTCTTTTAAGTATTCTACATGTTTTATGATTGTTTCAGGGTTGTGAAAGAATTTTAAAATAAACTGTATGTGTATAACTACTGCATTACTGTACTATTTCTTCTCATAGGCTACTTTTATCTGACCATAACTCTTATAGTTATAGAGCATCTATAGTCCCAAAGCAAATTTTTGTCAGAAACAGGAATCAAACCACATATGAATCCTTAGATTCACAGTATGGAGTGCACTAACTGCTGCACCTATACCTTGGTGGTGGGTGTTGTGTACTAACTGCCTTCCTTGTAATCTGTTGAAGGTTAAAATAGGAACAGCTATACTCAGAAATCTCTAGTGTAGTTTTGGTAGGTAAACCTAAAATGGTTTGAAAAAGTATAGAAATTCTTTACTTGTGGTACAACCAGACATCAAAAAGGTATAGGAGATGAAACACCTCTCTTTGAATATATCCATATTTACAGAAACAACAAATTCAAAGAGATTCGTTGCATCTTTTCAACTCCTTTGAGACCCCCAGTTGAAACTTCCCACATTACTAAGACTGTATATTTTGTTTCTTACACTAGCTTTAACATAGAGTGGTTTAAAAATTTAATAATTAAATAACTAAGAAAGTATAACCATACAATTTTTAACATCTTGTAGCTCAACTCAAACTGCTGAGAGCCACTAATGGTACACATGTAGAAGTCTACTAACTTGTCAATAAAAATTATTTGAGTTGGGCTACAAGATGTTGAGAACTGCATGGTTATATTTCCATAGTTAGTTATTAAATTTTAAAACAGAAAAGATAATTTTTACCCTCCTGTATTTGTTGCTATATTGTATGACTATAGCTTTTTAACAGAACCGTCTTACTTAATATTGATTGGTTAAGGAGCAGCTTGTTTTTTGCTTCAAAACCTAACAACGTTTTCCAAAACCATCATTGGGGTTGCAAATGACATTTGAGAAAACCTGTACTAAGTAGTCTTTCCCAACTCTGGATGATGTGATTTTCTTGCTAATTTTCTGTATAACACATTGTCTGAACCCTTTTGAAAATTGACATACTTCAAGTCCTTACACTTTTATCATCCATATGATAAGTAAAATACTAAAAAAAAGGTTAACATATCAGTAAGGCAAGATTTCCCTATATTGATTTCATGTGAGCCCTCTTTTATAATACCACATTTCACTAAATGGTTTCCAAAGTTTCATTTCCAGGCTAATTTTTCCTACGACAGAAGTAAGCCTAACTATAGCCTATAACATCCAGGACCATTCCATTTAAAAAATAAGAATATATATAAAGCATTAACAATTTGCCAATCCTCACTTTCTATTTTCTGTTGACCCACAAAGGATTAAAGAAAGAAGCTAATATATCTGTTTTTTATCTTTTATTTTAATATCTGAATCTTCATATTTACAATGAGAGGATTAATATATATACATGTTTCAGGTCAACCTCAGAGAACTTGGTAAAATGCTCAGGGTCATAAATATCGCTAATATCTTCTTATAGAAAATAATAGTGTTTGGGGCTTTGTATATACTTTAGGCTGACACATTTGTATATTTCTATATGGATACTAAGTGTTGTTTACTGGTAATTTGATTTATAGGTCCTGCTTTTATTTTCCTAAACTTAAAATGTCATTTTCTTTAGCCCAGAGTGTGATCAATAGGTTTTCATTTGCCTGAAAGCTTAAATAAACAACAGACCCAAGCCTGAATTTTAGGTTTCCATTTTGTGTGGTGTTATATTCTAACTCCATCTAGGAATAAAATATTGTGTAGATATCATATACTGTATCTTTAAGCGTATTTAATTCACTGGTATCTGCATGTATCATTTTGAGATTTGCTACTGAATCTTGATCTTTCCTTTATTTTCCTCTCTATTTCTTATCTCTATAATTTAAAGTTAAGTAAAAAAATATATATATATATATATATATATAAGGCAAATCCAGAGCTTGAATTCTCAGCAAGAGCATGTAACATTATATATAGCTTTCACATTGTGTTTATTCTATATGGTGTAGCTACAGGTATCATTTATAGTATTCTAACAAGTCAATGTTTATAAATTCTGACTAAGTATAAGTACTTAAAATTATTTATGTATATCTTCTAGAAGTTGGATTGTTGAAGGCTGGAAATATTTCAGAATTTAGTGTTATAGACAGTTCTGATATTGTTTTTATTTTACAAATTACAGGAAACTACTAGAAGTACTAAGCATCTTTGACTTTTTGGAGTATAACACAATAAAAAGTGAACACCTAGAAACAGTTAATACCAGAAGGATTAAGTACTTTGGACATATGGGTACATGCATCTCAAAGCAACATGCTTAGAAAGATTAACCTGGAAGTTATGATACTAGAAGGTGTTCCTTTGAAAGGCAGAAGGTTCAGTGAAGGGACATGAAAAATCTTCTGTTGTGACTAAGGTAAGGTATCTGTGAGATCACTATCAGGTATAATGACAACATTAATCAAAAGTGCCATGATAGATATTTACTGATAAAATATACATCATACCTACATCTAAGTTTGTGATTGTAAAACAGTGTAGCCAATTTATTATGAATAAATATATGTATATATATTAATATATATATATATATATGTGCATACACACACACACACTATCAAATGATTATTGCAAAGAGTGATTTCTTTGTAAAAACAAATGCCTGTTATCAAAGCTTCTTTTTTTAAGCATTGATGACTAAAATAATTTTCTGTACATATGCAACACCAAACATACACATCTTAAATCTAGCTTTTCATGTCAGGTGCTAAGATAAAATAGAAAGTCTTTTAACACAACACAATATTAGCATATGGACAACAAGGAGCCATTTGGTCCTTCAAGGCTGTCTTTTGTACACTTGCTCTTGAAAAAAGTAAGAATTTAAACCTGCCCTTTAGTTTTCAGGAAATTATCAATACTCCTCTTAAACTCTACTACTGCCATTGGCAACTTGTTCCATAAGTCATTCATTGTATTTGGTAAAATAGAACCATTTTAACTAAAGCCTAGCTTATCTTTTCCAGATCTTTAAGTTATGTCCTCTTCTGTTAGTCACAGAATATGGTACAAGGGAATCAGAGGTCTTTATCATATAAATCATATAATTTCCCAAATAATCTTGTAAACTCTAGAAATATTGTAACTGTCAAATAACAATATTAGCACCAGGGTATGAAAAATTGAAGATTTTAATTATTAAACACAACACCTACCTCTACAAAATATAATCAGTCAATAATGATATTGATAAGGAAATAATCACAATTGTAATGAAATAATTCAATTTTCAAATACAAATGCCAATATTCACAAAATACTAAAAAAGTGATACCGTTATTATCAAAAATCACAAAATAATAATAGCAATAATAATGAAAAAGAATCAGGAGGAGAAAACCTAGTTCTCAAGGTTATTCACAATAACAATATTAGACACTTCTCAAAAGATATTGTTAAATCACAAGAATGAAATATCCTGCATGTCACATTTCATGACCTAACTCCTGTCTCATCAGTAACTTCAAGTTTTAAGCTTTTTGATTGCCATGCCAGATCATGAATTTATATGTCACATGACTAACTACATAACATTTGTTATACATAATCAGTATCTATCTGAGGAAACTCGGGTTGGTGTCTTAATATAAAAATCACATGTTTAATATTTAATATACTCTAGGAACTAGGTGAGCTGGCAAATAAAAATATAGTATAACCAAACCATAGATGGTAAAATACATAAGCAATACAAATTCATAATTAAATATAAAATGGAAATTGCTACCTCATGAGCTCATATCTTACTATTTCTCAAGTGAAAATGAGTTAAAAAGATCTTAATTTAGCCTTGCAAGATAACCCTTTCATCTTGAGTTAAAAAGATCTTAATTTAGCCTTGCAAGATAACCCTTTCATCTTGAGTTAAAAAGATCTTAATTTAGCCTTGCAAGATAACCCTTTCATCTTGAGTTAAAAAGATCTTAATTTAGCCTTGTAAGATAACCCTTTCATCTTGGAATAGTATTCTTGTGAACACTTTTCAAGAAGTTGACATCTTTTTTTAGATAAAGAGACCAAAACTGTACACAATAATCCAAATGAAGCTTAACTAGTGATTTATGTAAATAAATATATTATTTATATAATTATCTTTTTTGACTTATAATCAGTATCTCTACAAATTCACCCTAAAGTTCTATTATCTTTACAACTAGCAAGAGATAACTGCTTTGATGAATTAAATGACTTATCCACCACAATGTTAATATCCCTTTTCAGCTATGTTATTGAGTGGGCTCCTGTATATGTTAAACATGTGATCCAACTCATGATAACCTAACTGCATAATCTAGCACTTTGTGATGATCTAGTTGTGTTGATGTAACAACTAGGACATCTACAATAGCCATTATTAGCTCAAGTAATCCCAGGTACTGTTTATTAACACAGACTAGCTACAGAAGAAAATTCATAAATACTAGACAAGTGACAAATCTAATCAGGCATCAGTAGGTTGCCACCTACATGTTATTGCCTGTATAAGTTGTACTAATAGAAAACTACAAACAAAAACCCTTTAGCTTTTTTAGCTTAGCAGTGAAGTGAGGTATTTATATATTGCCTCAGCATACATCATATCATGTTTGCAATAATTAACTTTACATTACAAACTAATCAGCGATAAACATCTTGTACATCCAGTATCGTGTGACTGTTAAGTTACATCTTACACTGTTGTTTAAGCTTAAACAAGATGACTGCACGTAATTATTGGTAGAAGTTAGTTGTCATGAAATAAATATGTACTGATATGAAAAATATATGTCATTGACATGTAATGATTATATGCCAATAAATAATGCTCACTTAATTCCTCAAACTTGTAATAATTAGAGGTCATTTTGCAATTTTTTTCCACTTACCAATTGAACCAAGGAATTCTATAATATCTTCCTATCCACAATACAGTTAGAAATACCCAAGAGTTTAATGTCATCAGCAAGTTTCACTAACTTACTGATTGTGTTCTTATCAGTATCATTAATGTAAATAAGTAAAAACAAAAGCCCAAACACTAAACTCTGAGGCACTCTACTAGTAACACAGAGTCAAGTATGACCGGACTCAATTAATAGCAATTATTTGATTTCTCTCATTCAACCACCCTACAATCCGATTAATAGTCTTTTTTCCTAACCACTATTGATGCAATTTTCTTACCTAATCATTTGTGTCAACCTGCAACAATATGTCAAAACCAATTAGGTAATATTCACTTTTCCCTAAATCTTTCCCACACTTCTACTCTTGTAATGATATCCTCATTAATGGTTACAATAAATTTAAAGTGGCATCCTCCATGGTTAGCTCTCTGATCATTTGGTATAGAAAAGCCTACTGAATTACATCAAAAAACAGTTTCCATCACAATATGACAACATAAAATCACTATCAATATGTCTATAATCAAAGTTTCCTATAACTAATGCATCAGTATTGTTATTAGTAGCACTTTTGGTTTCATTATATAATTTTTCTTTGACCTCATCTGTCTGATCAGATGGCTTTTAACAATTGCCAATTAAAAATTTCTAACCTTAAAACTTGATTGTAATCCATATAGATTTAACTTCTTGACTACCATTTTTCATGTCTTCAATTCAAAAAGGCTGAATTTATCTCTTATTATAAAGAGCCACTTCTCTTTTAAAAAATCTAATCACTATCAAATAACTTGTATCCTAGAATTTAAAAATAATTCCTATTGTCAATATTCTCCAAATTGAAATCTAACTAAGTTTCAGTATTTTCAGTTATATCAAAGTTTTTCATTTCAACTTCAGCCCTGAACTCATCTGTTTTGTTCCAAATATTCTGAACATTAAAATGGTAGCCCCTCAGCTTATATTTGATCCTCCTGTTTTTGTCTCTGAATCTGCTAGGCTTATCTTAAAAATGTTATTTAACTTGTGTTCTAAATCTTTTATTTCAAAATCATTATTGCTCTAGCTATCCTATCAGTTTGTTTACTCCCACTTTTCGAAGCCCCTCACCAATATGCAAGTTAAGTTTAAACTATCTTTCATAAGTATATTTCCCAAACATCCTACTACCTAATGTATTAAAGTGGAGACTTCCTTTATCACATAATTCAATAATTCACCCTTACCATAAACTATTCCACAGGTACTTCCAGCTGCTCTAAACATATTATCCCTAATAATATTTTATTTACGACTTGCAACATTCTAGGTATTTTGTACTTGTATCCAGCCTAAGGAAGCACTCCTGGAAAGGCAACACATCTATTTCTGTCCCTAAATAACTGAACCATTACAGATTTTTAGCAAAAAATACAAAATAACTATTAAAACAAATATCCACTTTGCCAACTACAGCCTATGCCAATAAGGCCTGAATTTCTCAGATCAGTTGATTTCAAAGGTTCTTGGAAAGGAGTCAAAAGAGCAATTTATTTCATAACATTCCAAGCCAGATGTATTTCTTTAAATGAAATAAACTTTCTAAAGTAATATTTAATAGAAAATCACATAGTTGATTGCCTTTGGTATTCTTATACATATTTGTTTCAAAAAGTGGACTATTTAATGTTGCTTTGGACTTTGTAAAGCAAATATCTAGAATTGAAGGTCTACCTAGTAATTTATTATTTGAGGTCACTGGGACAAAAATTTTGGTATATTGAAAATAACCTAAAGCCATCAGTGTAAACTGAAGTGACTGAACTGTGTAATGAGGAACATTTTATTGTCCCAAGTAGTGACCCTGTAAGGATGCATTAACTGCAAGAGAAAATAACCTAGGGATAACAAAGGTCAATACATTTCCTTGCATGCCCGTCTTTGAGAAGAGTTAAAATTTTATCCCATCCTTTAATTTTCAAAAATTGATTCATTCTTAAACTTGTAAAATGACAACCACCAGTCAGCAGATGGCAACTCTTTACATAAACCAACCATCCTGTTTTAAAATTCAAATTATTGTTACGTCTCCGTTTGTTAATTAACTTTCCGTAACTTCGTTCCGACGAAACTTTAGCGACACAAATCCTTTCTAATAAAACTGGTTTATTCTTTCCGAATACAACTACACGATACACTTATTTTCAACAATCGCGCCAAAACAGCGAACGTTAACTTCAACAATACGTCTCTCTCTGACTGCAGTTCAATTACTCACTATCTACACACACATTACATTATTCCGTCACGTTGTGAGCATCTTATTTATATACCAGAAAAACATATATCTAGTAAATGCTAGGGCATTCACGAAGGAACAAGATACTTCTAGAAAATAGGTGGCGTCACACTAGTCACGTAACCTCGATGACGCAACATTATCATAATTTGTGTCTCACCTGAATTTTTTCAAACCTTACATTGTGTCTTCCGATCCTGTTGTCTTCAGAATACAGCATAAAGAAGTCAGAAACCTTTATTAATTTATACCACACAAAATATTGTAAAATTCAATAAGATTACCTATTACCCTTTTTTTTTCTCTTTCTCAAAATATAGGTAAGCGATATTAATATATGCCTATAAGGCAATTTTTCATCTCTGGAATCATCTTAGTAATCTTCCTCTGAACTCCTTCCAATAGGATAGTAGAGTTCAAAAGACTCAAAACTCGAGGAATTTCAAATAGTGGACTATTCTTCTTCAGCAGTAAAAAGGGTTAAAGAGTGTGGGATAATAAATATGAAAGGGTGAACACATCACATGAGGAGGAAGTATTAGTGAAGGTAGTTGTGGAAGTTGACCAATCCCAATTAAAGAAATGTATCATTAGACAACAGCTATTGATGAGTATGATGAGTAGAGTTGGGTGGTTAGTGGAATTTGCTAGTTGATTAATCACTGAGATCATTAATCAGTTACATTCAACTAATTGATTATTCTCGCATGGATCTGCAAAAAAGATTACATGGCTGCTTCTCTAAGAAAAGATAAGTTATTGGAAAAAAGATAACTCAACAAAGAACAAGTAAATAAGAATGTTTTAAAAAAAGGTTTTTATTTAACTTTTATATTTTTATTATATTTTTTACAGTTTGGTCTCTGGAAGATGCTTTTGTTCTTTTAAATAAACTATTCTTTCTCTATGTATTAGAGAATAGTTATTACTGTTGTTATGTATAAGTACATAATTATTTTCTCCTTCATCATTAGAGTTGGACAATTAAATCAATCACTTATGAGCTTCTATTACATTGATTATTGTAACATAAAATAATTAAGTGAAAGGACTGTTAAATCTATTAATTATTAGGAACAATAAAACATTAAATAAAAACAAATTTTCATTACCAGAAAAAACAATTTTCATAGAAAATTAAAATATCAAGTTTTGATGTTTGTAGACTTTTGCTATTCTTCATTGACTTAAGATATACCATTTACTTCAGTATGTATGGCAGCATCCAGTTTGTGTGTTGTGTTTCACTATGAAGCAGCTAAGCACACATCTTCTAAGAACAACAAAATTTCTGGAAAGAGTAACCAAAATGGTTATTGTTGAATGCTCAAAATCGCTACTTAAAGATATTAATAAATCACTTAAAAGCAAGTTTTGATGGGAATGGTTAAGTAAAAAGAATTATTTTACAAGTTGAATTTAATAAATATGCATAGTCCTTTCTGAACATATCCAAAATATCAATCTCTTTCTGTTCACACTAGATATATTACACGTAAAGACCACATATAGACACAGCACCTCTTCAAAGGGCTTATTGCTATTATTACATTTTAATATCAGAACTTTTTGGGAGTAAAATAGAAGCTGAATGAATTCTTAGACTTAAAAGATTTTAAATCTCTTTTTATGGTGCATAAACCAGTTACTGAAGTTTGAATTCATACTTTAATTTAGTTCATGTGAATGTTACTAAAGTGAATATAACTAAAATCATGAATATAAGATTATTGCATAGCTGTAAGATAGTTTTCATTAAAGAATCATTTTCTTTTGTGATAGAATTAGTATTTTTAATAGTTAAATCAGAATCTTTAAAAAATGTTGGTTAAGTGTCAGCAAAATGCATTTTATGGTCTTAAAGTAGGTTAAATCAGTGGAAGCATATTTACAGCCTTTAGTAATATTACTAATAATACATTGTAAGTATGATCAGAAGCATTAACCCATTGACTGTGACTACTCTAAATGTGCATGGAATTTTTCCAAGTCATACACCATATGTGACACACTCGCATTCAACTGCTGGAGGTAGACCATATCCTTTATGGCGAATCAGCAGTCAATGGGTTGATATTTAAATACTATCAAAGTTCATTTCTGATACTTCTAAAACTCAACTGAAAGTTTCTGTTTTTAAGCCTTAAGAGAGTTTAGTAAAGTGCACTGTAGTCTACATGTTATTAGTAATTGTAATATTGTTAATAGTTAAAATAGGTTCTTGAAGTTAAGATAAATTACAAGTTGATAATCAAAGATATACACATTAGTAAAGTTAAGTTTAAAACCTTAAAAATTTATGGAATTAGTATATGTTTCAGCAGCTACAGAGGAAGGATCTAATAGATATAGTAGTCGATAACAGCGTAATATATCTATGAGTAAAAACTTGGATATTCAATTATTGTTAAACATCATATTATGTAAATATTTATAAATTGATGAATAATTTTAGTTTCTGTTTACAAAATCATAAACAAACAATTGCAGACCAAGTTTCCCATAGTCAACACTGTATTTTATTCTACAACATTCATAGAGGATGTTTCAAAAGTTGGTTGCCATTGTAACAATGAGTAAATTAATATTGCTTTCCTTGTTTCTTTGCAGGTTTTCTAGATAATGCCACTGGACACTGACGAACATGTGAAAGTGATTTTGGATTCATTGTCTTCATCAGGACCTCATTTGTATAAGTTTTGGATTTATCCCACTCACTGGAGTTCTCATGCTTGCTGTAAAAAAACAAAATGGAGATGGAAAATTAGACAGTTGGTTGTTGACATGATATAGTCATTACCAGCTTTTTGATTGCTGTACTTACTTCACAAAGTATGTTCCAAGAGAATTTCTTGATATTGAATGTCTAAAACTTAATTATTAGTATTGATAACTCGTGTAAATAATTCATTGTTATATGTACTATTCATAAGAAGGATATTAAAGTACAGCTAAACTCATAGAAAGTGACATTATGTTATCATCTTAGCTGTGTTGGATTAATAAACATTCATGTTAAGTTTATTAAGTTATTGAATGATGAAAATCTGTATTGTAATCATGTAGGCCAATAATATTGTGAGCAGTGAACCACAAGTCTTGCAATTTGAAAACGTTTATTTTTGGACATACAGGCTGATTAATGGTACAAAAATGGGCAATGTTAGCCTTGTTTTGTATTGTATTAATTTTAATTGCAGACATTTTGAAGGACATTCTGTAAATGTGTATAGACATTCAGCCTGTGGAGACCTACCTTTTGAACAGGGATACCCTGTAGTACTAAATACACCTTTCTTGGAACAAGCTACCAACAGGCCCCATTTTATGAAGTTATAATATAGCCCTGCACAGAAGTTCTTATCAAGGTTAAATAATTTATTTATCATAACCATTAAGGGGACAGTGAGATTCAAGTTAATCAGTTAATGAATGTATTTATCAGTATATTTTACATGTGAATGCAATTTTTCAAAATATGACCTCTGAATGCATTGATGCAGGATCAATTCTAAAGATTCTATGCCACAGTAATTAGTTCAAAGAGAAATGATTGTGCTCCATAGATAAAGATGAATTGAGAACTCATTTCAATACATCAAATATCCAAGAAAACATTACATTAAAATGTAGAAAATGCTACATATCTGAGGCAGCATGTTAAAAAGCTTATAAAGATTATCAACTTCTGGATTTGTTTGAAATATTTATATTGTCAGACTGTTTTATTACCTTAAAAATATTTTTGCACATGAAACTACTCTGATACCTCATATTGTTATTTATGACTTATGCTCAAATCATAACAAATTACTATTTGCTTCTCCTCATGGGGAAATAAAAGCATGTTACAAAATTACTTTTTTCTTTTAATAGTAATAGTGTATTTAATCATAGAAAGGATTAAAAGTTAACATTTGATGATATTGTTTGAGAATGTAGTGGTTGGGGCACACAGATATAGCAAGAAAGCTAAATTTCAGAGAATAGACATTTTTCTAGCTTTCTTCCATTTCTTTATGACACAAATCAATGTCATTTACTCACTAGGCCCCTCCTCCTTCCCCTTCCAAATTGAAATTCCTTGTGTGATAACAAATAAAATTTTAACCTAGTAGTCACCCACTTGTATGTGAATGCTACTTGAATTCATATTTTCACACCTACATGTGTGATCTAATATAGTTTTTTCACATAAAATTCCTGCCAATATTTATCATAAAATTCCTCTTTAGTGCTTGGAAAGCAAGGATTTCAATGAGTTTTCAGAATCCAGATGTATTAGTAATCCTTACGATAATTTGTAATCATGCCAAATGTAAATATTTTAAGCATTACAACTAATAGCATCAGCTGTTCCAGCTGTACTGCATATTATATATCACATCCACTGAGAGCTGTGTTTTTTGGCCAAACATTAGTAAGTTTGGTGAATAACCTGTTTGCTTTTGCTCTGTTGCAAAATATATCAAGATATATGGTAGTTGCTCGTTCAGTGTTATTGGTATTGAATAACTTTGCAAGAATACACTTGATTGTCTGAATCATTCATTTTGAGAAACCATTGTGGGTGATATGGGGAAATGCATGTTTTACCAAACCCATCACCTTATATAACTTAACAAGTAACTGCATTTTTTTACATAATCTGATTATAACTTACTAAAACAAAATTTCTGACGTGTTTGTATACTATGAGATCATTATTAACCTGGAGTTAAAAAAACTTAGATTCTGGGGTATAACTTGACTGTCTGGAAACTGGGATAATTCAGAGTGTCATTTGGCCGAAAGCATACCCACATGTTGATGAACCATTCCCAACAGAACAGTAAATTTAATCAAATGTCTCGTGCTTCATAGAGTACATAAGACTGCTCGTAAAGTTTATACTGTGGAGATCAAAAGCATATGTCATTTATTTGTTTATCATTACAGTTTGTTTAGTATGGGACCCAATTAGCTAATAAAGCTCCCCTCCACTATAGACATTTTGGTTCTAAAACATAATATGTATTATTCTTTGCTTACATTATCATAAATATACATATTTTAAACAACAAACAATATGTATAATGCCTCATTACATTTAGATATACTCTAATCTACATTTACATTTCTATCTAGTATTTCTGGTCATGAATATTGCTCTGAATAGGTGATGACCACCTTGGCACAAGTCCCATGTTTGGAGAGCCTTATTAAAAGGCCAAAAATGCACACCAAAAGTCTTGATCTAAAATTGACATAAATGTTATATACTCAAATAAAATAACACTATAAATCAGTTTTCAAAAGGTGGTCAAATCATAAAGGAGGTGCCTTTTCTTGCAGTTCAAATGTAGCATCACAGAATCTCAACCAATCTAAATGTGAATGTTTTATCTATCTATAAACATTTTTCAATAATCTTTAAAATATATAAATATATATATATACAGTAGTTGCTGTGTGCGACCCATTCAAATCAAATAGATATGAATAAGTCTTGAAATAATTTTTATCATTACGTTTTTTTTCAGTATTTTTTGTGAAGTTCTTCTTTTGGTATATCATCAAAAATGTATTCAGACAAAAATTTATCAAATATACAGTGAATATGTAAAAATGACCTTTCTTTTTCTGTTATACACTTTTAAAAAATTGAATTTGTGGCTATATTCTGTTCATTGTTTTCTGCCATTGTTTTGAATCTTTTCCCTGGGTATAAATGGGTCTGTTTATCATAGTGCAACTCATTCAACTAATATTAAACTGACAATTGCACAGAGAGATAAGCCAGTGAAATGTTATTACTCCAAAGTATGCAAATTTGAGGAAGCTTTCGAGAAATACTATAAAGTACATACATCCACAGAGGGCCTTGTTCCAGTGTTGTCATGCATAAGTTTATATAAATATTTGAGGATACAGGTTGCACTTGGGATAGAAAGACCACATACAAGCAGACCACCAAGATGTACTAAAACTATTGCTGAGGTGGGTCATGCTGTAGCAGAAGAAGCCAGTACAAGTGCACATGCATACAGAAGTGCATGTTATGTCACATGATGTCTGGATTTGCCAATTTCAACTGTTTGTAAGGCTTTTCACTTAACTTTGTGAATATTTCCTTACAAGCTGCATCATTTAAAAGCACTGAAGGAGGCAGGCTTAACTCAACACGTTGATTTTTGAGTTGCAGTTTGCAATTTTTACAACCAATGAACTTCTCATGCTGCAGCAACTAAATTTAATAGATGCTATGGTTTTCATGGAGGATTTTGCTCCTCTACATATAAATAACAAGGTAAAAACATATCTTGCAGGAACACTTTCAGCACCGGATCAAAGAATCAAATACCAGCTGATTTTTTATTGTGGAGGTGGCTGAAGTCACATGTGTTGTAGTAGGACCTCAAGGATGCAATTGTCTAGAAAGTGACCAGTGTATCAGAAGAGATACATGTTGCTGCTCCAGTGTCCATTGGATGCAATGCATTCTGAATGCCAGAGGACCACATTTTGAACAGTTGTTGTGGTTTATCAAACATTAGGTATGTGGTATACCAGGTAGCAACATATAACAACTGTGGGACTTGCATCTGTATTATACCATTAATGCCACTGTGTCATTTCACCTTCCTGAACTGTGAAACTTTCTTTATAATCACCCTGCACTGAATGACTTAATTTTAGTATAGCCGCCTGAGAAATTAACATACTTACTGGTATTTAGTTATATGTTCTCTCAGTTTCTCATATCTGCGTTTTTAGTATTAGATAAGTATAATTGTGACATTTGTTAGAGGTGTGACTGCTATTAGTTTTAAAAATGTTTTAAACATACAGTTTTAATAGTGAATTAGTATCTGATGAAATTACATTGAATACTATTTACAAACACTTATTTTCTCAATAAACGGATAGATAGTAGTTTTGACTTTCTTACGTTTAGAAAGAACTTTCATTGTTGCGTACAAGCTGCTCCTGAAAGTTCTAGTTTTAGATATTAAGGGTAGATTTAGAATCCTGTTTTCCCAGCTGTATTAAAGATTTTTGCCATTAGGTTTCCATGAATCTCTTTGAGTGACTAAAGACTTTAGTAAAATAGTTGTAGTAATTACTGATAATTTTAGAGTTTTGTTTTAAAATAAACAATACATTGTCCTGATGTTTCTAAAGAATATGTCATAAAGTCTAAAGTATAATTTTAAAATCAACTGAATTTGATTATTTGTTTCCTGTCTCTTTTGTTTTCAGAGCAATATAAATCTAGTCATTTGTTTTCACTTTACTTACAAAATAAAATCACTGATACATATGCAAGTATGTTATTAATCTGAATATTATTACTCCTTGAGAGCACAGTTACTACACTTCCAACTTATCTAAACTTAGCTTGTTGTCTGGAGAAGGAAAACCATAAATTTCTAACATAAAGCTTTGCATTTTGTTTTACAGTCTTCATATTTTGTATAGTGCACTGCCTTGCACTGTATTTAAGCGTCTTGAAATTAAGCTTTAGGATAACTAGGCTAAGGTAGACTGACCAAAATAAAATCATAAACAGTGATGAAGAATATATTTATTTGATATAAGTAACTGCTTAATGCCATTTGATTTTCATGAAATTGAATTTCTGTCAGATTATTTGATCATGTTACTTTAGCAGAATTATATAATAATTCTTACTGTAATAATAATAGTGAAATTGGCCCTTTAAATCAAAACATATTATCAAAATAATTGTTGATCTGCAAGAAGACTTTTACACTAATTCTTTTGCTTTAACCATTAATCAATCTCTTTGTCCTTTTTTAAATATGATCCACCAATTAATTGTTTTGTAGGTGTGCATTAAAAGTATTTTATGTTGTCAAATAATGTTTAAGTGTTTTTTGATAATATTGGTAATTTTATAGTTATTACGAAATGTTGCATAATATTTAAGAAAACAGTTACTTGCGAGTTTAGATTGCATATATCATAAAGTGTAATTGTGTTTTTAGTGCAATTCATGCTTTACATTAAAACTTTTCTTTTTATGAATGCTGAAATATATTTGATAATTATGTTGTATACTTATTTTTTTAATTTAAAAGAAAATACAGTATATCAAGATAAACACTGGAACTCAATTTTGTAAAATGTAACTTTAGCCTTAACAAAATAATTCCTTTTGTGGGACTCTTTATATCATACAGAAACATTCAGATGAACTACATTTAACTGAGCTGGTGTAAAACCCACTACATCTTTAACTAGTTTTTCTTCTTTTGGCATTTTTCACTTTATAAATGAGTTTGAAAAGGCTGAGAGAAAAAGGAAATTTTCATTATTAACTGAAAAAGCCTTCCTTTCCTTAACATCTAAGTTCTGCTACCTCAAATTAGCCAGCTGAAGCTTTTGTTAATGTTACATATATATATATACCAAGATTTGATTATATCCATTCTTCCTTTCATCATAGGTTCAGCATGGCCAGGTGGTTA